TTATCTAAAAAAGTTATTTGAACTAAATTAAAAAAATTAAGATTACTTACAAAAATAATTCTAAACTAACTACAAATTCTAAGGTTGTAAAAAAGGTTCTAAGATTACTAAATTAGATCTAAACTAAATTAAAATTTTAAAATTAGTAAATTAAATCTAAACTAAATTAAAATTCCAAGGTTGTTAAATTAAATCTAAATCAAATAAAATTCTAAGACTACTAAACTAAATCTAAATCAAATACAAATTCTAAAATTATTAAACTAAATCTAACTCAAAATAAAAATTCTAAAGTTATCAAATAAAATTCTAAAGTTACTAAATTAAATCTAAATCGAATAAAAATTCTAGAACTATTAAATTAAATCTAAATCAAAATGAAAATGCTAAAGTTATTAATTCTAAATCTAATAAAAATTCTAAAGTTATTAAACTAATTCTAAATCAAATAAAATTCTAAAATTACTATGCTAAATCTAAATCAAATAAAAATTCAAAAGCTATTAAATTAAATCTAAATCAAATGAAATTCTAAAACTACTAAACTAAAACTAAAACAAATAAAATTCTAAAGTTTACTAAATTAGATCCTAAACATTATTCTAAAAGGTACTAAATCAATTCTAAAATTAAACTAATAATTCATCTAATTAACTATAACATGATCGTTTGATTGACCTTCAGAAAAAATTTAAAATAAGAAATCAAGATAAGAAAATCATGAAACTAAACTAATAAAAATGTGGAGTGTCAAGTAAAAAAAGGATGGTAGAGTTGAAATTCGTTCGTGGGCTGCAGATTGAGGTGAGGCCCAATTAACTAGACAAACAGAAAACAGAATAAAAATTATAAAATAAACTGAATCGGGTCAAGACTGGGCAAGGCCCAACGAACTTAGTTTGAGAAGAAAAAAAAACCTAGGAGAACTTAAATTCCCAGTCGCTCTAATCTCTTCAAATTCTTGTTTAATGCTACCTCTGCTTCTGTGCATCACCGTAAAAAAAACAACAAAATTTTCATCTTCTTCTCAAACGAAATACCCTTTCTGTCGTCGATCAAACAACGGCCTCTGTACTCTGTTTCGATTCCTTACTCTCATGCTCAAATCTTCCTCTGTTTCGTGATCATCTCCTTCCCTCAGTATGAATCGCCACAGTTCCTCAAACCCTTTCCCGATTTGAGCTTGCCGCCTCCTTCTCCTAATTCTCATCCTGTTCTCCCGCTTTCACAACATAACCTTACTCAACCTTCTTCTCCTTCAGAGGAGATCATTCCCTCACTCCCTGTCTCAACCCTCGATTTAACATTTTCAAACGGCCATAGAAGAAACAAGAAACAACAAAGATCAAGCGACCTACATTTAAACCCCAATGAAAACCCAGACCGCTGATTTGGACACGTTCAAGGGTGAAGATAAATAAACGAGATACTGATAAATCTACAAGATAAAACTACACGAATGAAGGTATGGAGATTATTCCTCTGTTCATGAAGGCCAAACAATAAAAATGGTAAATCTCGCTCTTCTACCTTTTCTACACTCTCAGGGGAATAACTATAATAGTGGTCTAATTAATTCTGCTAGGATTTTACACTATTTTTCAGTTTCAGCATTTTTTACGGTTAACGACGACAACATGCCTAGCCTCGTGATTGCTATTCAACAACCAACAACACAATAATATAATGATTTTGTTCTATTTATACAAACACTAATACGACTCTTTTAAAGTAATTGAAGGAAGGCAAAGTAGACTTACACAGTCAGAGCTCTGATGTGGGCGATAAAGAATAAAGAAAAAAATAGGTAAAATATGCTTCCTTAACTTCTTCTCTTTGATTTCTATGCGTATCTGGATTTATTGAAATGGTTGGGCAATTTTGTTAATGTAGAATTTGGCAGAGAATTTGCGGTTTGTATTGTTGACTGCTTGATGTTGATGCAGAATTTGCAGGTCGAATGAAGAATTGTTGTGGTGAGAATTATGCCAGTTGAGTTTCTGGTTAAAAAAAACTTTACAGATCTGCTTCTGATAAAGATTTTGGTCGCAAGTTCTGATGAGGAATCAAGCGAGATGTTTGTGTGTTGGAGCAGGTTACAGGGAGGTTTTTTTTGGTATTAAACAGAGGTTTTTTGGTACGTATGTCTATCAGTGTTTTATTGAACAGGGTGAAGGCATTTTTGGTGTATTGAACATAAGCTTGTTGGTATTTCTGTGGAAACTGTTGGTAGGGATGAAGCAAAGTTTTTGAGTGTGCTTTCTTTGAAATATTTTTCTCCTTCATCAGTGGACTCTCCCTAATGGATTTTTTCTCTCTGTTTTTCCTTGACTCGGTTCCCTTCTTTATAGTGAAATAGCAGTAGGAATTGGGAGGGAAATCAGAGAAAATCTGAACATATTTGCTGCTCTGCTTTGTTACTTTTTTGGTGCAGTTTGCCTTGCCTATTTTTGTGCAATGTTACAGCTGTTTTTGGACTGTTTTGGGAAGATTTTGGCTTGACATGGTACAAACAGGTTTTTTTTCTGTAGCAGTGGGAAACAAGGCTTTGTTTCTTTGTTTTGGGAATGTTTTGGTTGCAGGTTTTATCTTTCCTCTTTATCTTTCAATGATGCAAACTGCTTTGGCTCTTTTCTTTTTAAAACTCTGAAGGATTTGCACATTTGGAACATGATGACATAAAGGTTTTTGGGCTAATGTTAGCCTTCTATATTATTTTTCTTGTTTGGTGCTGCATTTGCTTTGTCATAGTCATGTTTTACCTTGCAGCTTTGGTTTTGCTGCTGCATTTGCTGTTTGTTATTTGATGTGCTGCCTGTTTATGCTGTTGTGTTGTTTATGTTATATTGCTGCCTTGCTTGCTTGGCCTGCTGGCATGCTGCCCCTTTTTTTTTTCCTTGCTTTGTTTGCTGTTGTTTGTTCATTTGGCTGCCTTGTTAAAGCTGTTACTTTTTTTGTTTGCTGGCCTGCGACTTTTTCTCATTGGCAATTTTTCTTTTCTCCCTTTTTGTGAACCAAAGAGGACAAATCTTTGTGATTTGCAATTTAGGAGAAAATAAAACATGATAAAAGATATCTCCCTCTTTAACTGATTCCAAATGCAAAACCTTATGATGAGATACCAATCAATTAATTCTTGTTTGGAATTTTTTTTCATGTGTTTGATCGCTAACTTTTCTTTTTCCTTGTTTCATGAGCACGAGTATTGGACGGTCCAAAGCGAGATTGAATGATGAAAATACCATGGCGAGGAGTGAAGATGAAGACTTGAAGATGAAGACTTGAAGAAACACATATTATTTCTCTCTTTTTTTTTTTGTAAATAAAACAAATGTAATTTGTATTTCAATAATTGTGATTTATGATTTCACATGCTCTGTAATTTGTCCCAAAAATGTAATGAACACGAAAGCTTGAATGATATATTTTTGAATGAATTCTTTTGTATGGAAATCAAACAACTCTCGATCTTTGATTGAAAATGGCAATTCCCACTTGAATGATTTGAATGCACTCTTTGGACTTTGTAACTTAAACTTCAAGAAATTGTGAGCAATCGTTATAACTTGTATTCCAAACAATCATGCGCCTTATCTTTCAAAATCCAATCAAACTCTCGAACAAAATAAATGCTTAAGAATTTAATTTCACTGGTTAATTTGAACCCAAAACATCGGTCACTTGAACCTTGATCTTCATATCATGCCTGAACCATATTTGCACTTCTCGACCAGAACCCTAATTTTTGATATTCAACGCACAATAACCTGTAACTTAAGCAACAAAACAATGTCTTGATCATCATGAACCCTTAACCTCATTTCTTGTGCCCAAAATCCACATTTGCCAATTTAAACTTCAAACTCTCGACTCAATGGTTTAGAGACTTTAAGAACAAAACTTGAAATGCGAGGAGATGACATTCTTGACCTAATGCACTGAGCTTCGAGCCATCTTCGAGGCAGGCGAGAGAAACATCTTCCCAGAAACCAAAGACTTGAAACCCTAACATCTTGACCAACACACATAGGGAAATAAACCCTAATCCAAGCTCTGATAAAATTGAGCGAGAACCAACCTTGTAACGTGATGACAAAATTCGTTCCACGATCCACTAATCGAGAACCAGATGCGCTTCCTTTTTACCTGATAAGAAAACCTCAAAACAAGATTAGACATAAAGAGGGAGCAACCCTAAAACTTTAAACCAAAGCGCCCGATTCCATGAGATGCAGGATATGCAAATGACTGAATAATAAAATGATGCAAATGGAATGCAAAGTTCAAAGCTAGACCAAAAATAAAGAGATAGGGAAAATTTGGGGTACAACATCACTGTCCCAACATAGTGCAATCGTACGATCATCACATACCAATGCACCTTTTTCTCAAGTCTACGTCTCTCCTCTTCGTGCGGTTCACCTTCACATATTTGATGTGATTTCTGATTCACTAAATTCGAACCTCCTACGAATCAAACGATGAGAATCAATACCTACTAAATCTATGTAACTTCGTTTCACACCTTCTTCCTCTTTGATTCAATCTTATCCTTCTGTTTCTTCTTGCACTGTGATGTTGATATGTGTTGTTGTTACTAATGCATATTCAGTTGCATTGTTGTAGATTGTTGTATTGAAGAGTGACTGTGATGATGATGATGATGATGGAGATTAACGAGAATGATCAAGAATAATTGCAGAGAGAGTATTTACATATTGGTCGTGAAGATTGAGCATAGAAAATATGGAGGTTGAAGATGATGGTGAAAGGAATCGATGAATGGTGTTTGATGAGTATATGAAGGTTTGTTGAGAATTGATGCATCAATGGATCAGAGGGAGAGCTTCAAGAAACACTTTTGGCGAGTTTTTTTCCTGAAGGTTTTATCATCGTGAACTCCCTCCTCTCTTTTCTGTTATCTATTAGGATTTGTTATGTACTTTTTCCATAAGTTTGTTAGAAGCAGTTAAGAGGTTTGTTGGAGTTGGTTTTTGTTGATGTTAGTTAGAGAGTTGGTTAGAGGTTCTGTTTTGACAGTTATAAGTGAACTGGCAGTTAGATGGAAACTGTTAGTTGTTTTTTTGGCAGATTTTCAGTCTAGCTATTATTTCTTATTTCTGATTTAATTCCCTTTCCTCTGCAATACTTTCTGCTGTGAATAAGCTCTTAAATAATTCTCATTTATTTTTCTGTACTGATTCTCCTTTGTGAACAAATGCAGGGCATGATTAGTGACTTATGGGATTTGTGAATTGATGCTGCAGGTTTGGAAATATGACATCAAGGCTTGCAATTTTTATGTTTTGTCGTGGTCATGAGGAATGGTCAAAAGAAGGCGAAGTTTTGATGGGGCAAAACGGCCGTTTAAAGTTTGTTGAAATATGGAGAAATTTGGAATATAAGTCTAGGATTTTTGTAGTCTTTTATTTTGATGTAATGTATTGGATACTTGGATGTAATGGTTCTTAGAAACATGACTTTGTAATCTTGTAACTTCAATGGTTAAATCCAAAGCAAATTCCTCTTTCAAATGGAATACTTTTCCTTTATGATTTTGACATTGTATTGATGGCATGATGATGTAATATGGGATTAATTTTTGTATAGATTCCAACTCAAGTAATGAAGTATTTTTCCGTTTCCCTCCATTTGCACTATTTAAAATTTCAAGCTTATCTCCATTTGCGAACTAGAATGAACCACAATATGAAAACCAAATCAAGCTTAAGATGGACTTTGGAATTTGTTTTGAACCTTGTGTTACAACTTGGACCATGAAGGAGTTTGAATGAACTAGGATAGTTATGTAAAAATCATGAATTCCCTTGTTTGTATATGGATTTCTTGAATCAAACTCGATCCCATCTTGACATCTCGTGATGAATTAAATTCAAAAACAAATACGGTTCCTTGCTCGAATCTTGTTAAAACCTCATCTCAATTGATAAACACCGCATATGAACATATTGATTCATAAGCCCCAAAGAAGATGTACTCCTTCATATCCTTGAATCCTTGAGAAGAAAACCATATAATAATGACTTGTGTAAACCAAGAGGTTAGGAGAATGCCATGGATGAGAGTTATACTTGAAATTTTGAGAGAATGCTACTCAGGATAATCATGGGACCGAACCCTAGTTTGCCATGACAACATCAAGGCATCTTAAATGAGTTACACTTTAACCATGATGGAAGCCCTTGAGATTATGATGTTTCTTGATAAATAGATTTGTATGAAAATCTTTCCTTGATGTCTACTTGATTAGGGAATCCTAAATCACGTGGAGATGACATGTATAAGAAGATGGATTTCAATTCCTTGAGTTTATTTGATGACCTTGAGTATAAGGGACAAACCCCAGCCCATGACCCTTAAACCTTTAAGTGAGACAACCCTACAAAAGATAGAGAAATCCTAGTGCATAAGTGAAACCTTGTTCTGAATGTCAATTTGATTGATTAATGATGCATGATGTGTTAGATGACCTAATAGGAGCTATGTAGATGAAATAAAAATGGAATACCTAAGCCAGATGATTTGATAAAAAGGGCAGGAAAAATTTGGGGTACACTACAAGAAAATTATCATTTAGCTGCAATTTCATAGCGTCGGCCCTGACACCGACACTAATAGCATTGCTATTACGGTGGCATAAACCGACGCTAATTGAATTTAGACATTTATTTTATTAGGACATTAATAATAGTGTCGGCCAAAGCCGACGCTAAGATTTGCTCTTTATAATTTCATTTCGCCCACCAATTTCGTTTGCCTCCTTTTTATTTATTGTATTAAATGATTTTTTATTTTTAGGCCGACGCTAATATTAGTTCCAAATAATTTCATTTTCCCCTCAATTTCATTTGCCTCCTTATTAATTACTGTGTTAAATAAATATTATTTTTAATAGTAGCGACAATTTTTGCCGACGCTAATGTTAGTACTAAATAGTTTTATTTCCCTCCATCAATTTCGTTTGTCTCCTTTTTATTTATTATATTAAATAATTTATTTTTAGTATTAGCGACAGTGTATGCCGACGCTAATATTAGTGCCAAATAATTCCATTTTCCCCACCAATTTCGTTCATTTTTTAGTGTTTCAATCAATTTGTTAGGAGATTATTTTTAACTATAAACTAAAAAACCAAATAAAACTAACTAAAATTAAATTTATAAAACAAAATTTAAATTTTATAAAATCAAATCAAAACTATATTAAACTTAAATTTAAAAAATCAAATCAATATTATAAATTAGTGAAGTAAAATTAAATTTTAACTAAATTAATAAAATTTAATTAAAGTTTAACTTATAAAATAAAATGAAAATTAAGTATAAACAAAATAATAAAATAAAACGAAAAAATGAATTAAAATATATTTAATAAAATAAAATTAAAATAAAAAAGTAAAATATTATAAATTAATAATTAAAATATAATCAAAATCTATTTACTAAAATGTATTTGGTAAAAATAAAATAAAAACATAAACTATTTAGTAAATTTAGTTAGAATTGTAAAGTAAAAACAAAAGAAAAAAAATCCTTTCAGCTTCTCAGAGAAGCAGAAATCGTTTCAACGCTTTTGGTTGAGTCATTAACGCTTTAGCTTCTCATACGGAAATCATTTCATCACTTCAGATTGCAATCGCGTCTCAAAATCATTTCATCATTTCATCGTTTTATCGTTTCATCGTTTGAGGTTGAAAGGAATCGCTTCTCAAAATCGCTTCAGGTTGCAATCGCTTCTCAAAATCGCTTCAGGTTAAAATCTTTTCATCATATTTCTTTTCAAAATTCTGTTTTCGATTTTTCATTTCAATTCTTCATTTCGAATCGCCCGTTAGATACTGATTGCTCCGATTTTGGTTTTGTTATCCACAAGAATTGCTCGATGCTTGTTGTGTTTCTATATATCGTTTGTTCGCTTGATTATAGGTTTTAATTAGTAAATAATATACTTCAATTGATTGATTTGTTGGTTCATTTTTTTTAGTAAGTGAATTTCGTTTTTGGTAACTTCTGTTAACTGTTATCTAGTAAGCACTTTCCGTTTAGTTGAGTTTTTTGTGGATGTAGATGTTAAATGCATGTAGGTTCACTTGTTGATAACTTGATATGAAATTATGAATTTCCTATGGTAGCAAGTATGTGAATATAAATTGGATAAGTTTGTTTTAAGCTGCTTAAACTTCCGGCAGACGTTGGTGTCCTACTTGAAACATGGTTGAACTTATGCTGCTTCAACAAATCAGCTCTTGAAGTGGGTGAAGCATTTGTGATTACGTCTTCACCAACTACTATTATTCTGTGATACGGGGTTTTGTATCAAGTAAAGTCGAATAACGGCTATAACACTAGCTGTTTACGGCAACTGATTGACAACACTGACTTTTCCATTTTCAAATAATCATTAGATTCATATAGCTTGTGTCTTCAAATTTGTTACAAATACTGGAATAGCTTCTATTTTTTTCATGTTTTTATTTCCTTTTCTTCTTATTTCCAATGCCAGAGTTTTGTACCAAGACCAATTGCAAGGATTTCCAGTGACTTTTATGGCTTTGAGTGCTTTGATTTTTGTGTTCAAGTCAATCCTCTCTACAATTGTCTTCATATTGGTAAGTATCCATTTTACTTATCAAAGTAAAATTTCATATTATTGCTTTAATGTTGTATATCACAAACCATTACAACAAAATCAATTGTCATGTTCATTGACTATGCACATTTATATAACTTTTGGTATCAAATTTGAATTAACTCGCTTGCAAAATGGTTTGTGTAAAATTGAGTTTTACAATCGGTTTGTGTAAAATGGTATCAAATTTGAATTAAATCGCTTGTATAATTTGTCGCAGGTCCACAATCGGTTGCTCCACCACTTTGTTTATCTTCTTCTAAAGCCAATTTCAAGGTAAAATCATTATTTCTCTTTTTTTATATCGTACCAAGGAACCGATCAAATTAAACATTATCTTGGACAAATATGTTTGTATTATCTATTCAAACTTTATTCGTCTCAAAACATATGATAAAATTATGACGAGCACAGTTGAACTGCCACAATTATCATATAGCTTATTGTTTCAAGAAGCTTATTCGAATGTCCTAATTATTATATTGTGTTGTACATGATGATTATGTGAATCGTATAACACAAGCCACCAAAAATAATAATAATGTGGATGGGTCGGAAAATCTACAATTATGGAAAGAAGTTGCCAACAGTAAGTCACGAGGCCGATGTTATGGAACTGCCCGAATGGCAGTCAACATACAATATGGAGTGTCTTACTTGACACAAGTGACTGTTTCAAACCCAAATAGAGAAGCGGAGAGCCAAACCATTGAGATGGCTAGAGCTGAGGCTTCTAGAGTACGTGAAGAGGCTGCATTAGCTAATGCGCGTGCAGACGAAGCGAATGCGAATGCAAGAGAAGCTATAGCTGAGACAACATAATTGAAAAGGAAATTTGAAGAATTTCATAAACAACTGTTTGCTTGGCATCCGGGTCAGGCGGGTACTTCCACTGTTCCTTCTAGTGTCCATCTTAGTTCTAGTGATCATTATGATGATGACTCTGATGGTCAGACATTAGATCTAGAGGGAATGAGCGATGGATGTTGACATTGTCTTTTTTTTAGTTTTAGAACTTATTTTGTGGATTTTCACTAGTTTGATATTTTGTGTTGGTATTTTGATGTAACTTTGACATCTTTATGTAACAACATTGTGGATCAGAACTAGTTTGATATATTGTGTCAATATTTTGATGTAACAAGTGACATGTTAATTAATGTAGCAATATTGTAGATTTTTGAAAGTTTGTTATCTTGTGTTGAAGTTTTTATGTGATAATATATCAATGAATAGTTTGAATTACAAAAACAGGTTTAAATTTCAAGTAGAATTAATTTGGTTTTAAACAGGTATAAATATTTTAAAATAGAATCCCTAAAGTAAATAAATAGTAGTGTCGGCTAAAATCGACGCTACTGAACAGCATAATAAACCGTTAGCGTCGATTTTAAGCTACGCTACATTGCACGACTTTAGCCATGTAGCGTTCATTATGACCTACGCTGGGCCTTAGAACTAGTGGCCTACAGAATCGATGCTAATACATTGAAGACAATATTTAAGTGACCCTATAAACCGATGCTATTTGGGAAAAAAATATTAAAATGGCCTTCTAAACCGCCACTAAATAAATGTTAACATCGACAATAGTCGACGCTAAAGGAAAACAATTCTATAACATAGCGTCGGTTTTGTTAACATAGCATCCCTTTAGCATTGTCGTAGTCGACGCTACCTGTAGCGAAGGCTGGCCGTTATGGTTTGCTTCCAGCTTTAGCGTGTTTGCCCTGACCTCGACGTCAAGCCGACGCTAAAGGCATTTAACATCGGTTTTTTTTCTTTTCAGCGATGGTTTTGGCCGAAGCTAAAATGCAATTTTCTTGTAGTGGTATTACAACTTCCCCTATTTAATCGTCTTAAACTTGAAAGTACGATTGACGCGTGCCTTTCGAACGTTCGAGATAGAAGATGATTAAATACCAATGCCAAAAATTTGTTCTGAAAGAAGGTGTGAGTATTTATTATCCTTATTTTTTTTGTGATATCTGCTAGGGAAAGAATTTTTCGTTTTCTAGTGAGAAGACGGAGATTGGACTTATAACGTAACAACTGAGGCTAATACAAGATGGAGATTGGACTTATAACGTGGCGTGATACCAATACAAGACAAGGATAGACTCGTATCTTGGTGTGATGTCAATACAAGACAAAGGTTGGTACGAAAAGACGGCGGATAAGATCTACGTGCAACCTACGATCCTAAGGTGAAACATAAAAGCGATCTGTCGGAGAACTAGGTGTATGGGCGACCTCAGGATTCTAGGAAGATACCTATGGGCGATCTGCTGAAGAACTAGGCCTAAGGGCGACCTCAGAATTCTAAAACAAGATCTATAGGGAGAACCTAACCTATGGGCGATCTCAGGTTCTGAAATGAAACCTCATCTACTGGAAAACTAGGCCTATGGGCGGCCTCAAAATTCTACGATAAGACATCAAGGTGATCTATCAGGGAACTAGGCCTATGGGCGACCTTAGGATTCTACAAAGATACCTATGGGCGATTTGTTGAAGAACTAAGCCTAAGGGCGACCTCAGAATTCTAAAACAAGATTTATAGGGAGAACCTAGCCTATGGGCGATCTCAGGTTCTAAGATGCAACCTCGTATACTGGAGAACTAGGCCTATGGGCAACCTCCAGGGAAATCTAGATCTACAGTCGATCTAAGATCCTAAGGTAAGACCTATGGGCCATCTACCAGAAAACTAGGCCTACGAGCGACCTACAAGGAAATCTAGATCTATGGTCGATCTAAGATCCTAAGGTAAGACCTACAGGCGATCTACCAAAAACTAGGCCTACGGGAGACCTACAAAGAAATCTAGATCTACGGTCGATCTATAATCCTAAGGTAAGACCTGCAGGCGATCTACCAGAAAACTAGGCCTACGGGAGACCTACAAGGAAATGTAGATCTACAGTCGATCTATAATCCTAAGGTAAGACCTATGGGTGATCTACTAAAACCTAGGCCTACGGGCAACCTACAAGGAAATCTAGATCTACCGTCGATCTAAGATCCTAAGGTAAGACCTACGGGCGATCTATCAAAAACTAGACTTACGGGCGACCTACAAGGAAATCTAGATCTACGTTCGATCTAAGATCCTAAGGTAAGACCTATGGGCGATCTACCAAAAACTAGGCCTATGGGCGACCTACAATTATAAGAAGGTGGGAATGTTGATTATGACATGACGATTGGAGATGCGATAATGACCAAGTGTACTGCATTTGCTGGGATCTGGAGGGAAAATAGACACATACGTGTGTTTGGAAAAGCTAACCTGAACGAGTGTTTGGAAAACTGACACAAATGAGCCTTTAGGAAACTGACACAAATGAGTGTTTGGAAAACTGACACGGACGAGTGTTTGGAGAACAGACATAAACGAGTGTTTAGGAAACTGACATAGACGAGTGTTTGGAGAACTGACACAGACAAGTGTTTATAAAATTGACATGGACGAGAACTAGAATTTGAATTAATTGTCAAATGAGAACTGACTACCAGACGAGAACTAAGGTTTGAATTAATTGTCAGACGAGAACTGAAAACCAGACTAGAACTGATGTTTGAATTAATTTTCAGACGAGAACTGATTACCAGACGGGAACTGGAATTTGAATTAATTATCAGTCGGGAACTGAGCACCAGACGGGAACTGGAATTTGAATTAATTATCAGACGAGAACTAACTACCAGACCAGAACTGGATTTAGAATTGATTTTCAGACGGGAATTGACTACCAGACGGGAACTGGGTTTAGAATTGATTGTCAGACGGGAACTGACTACCTGACGGGAACCAGGTTTAGAATTGATTGTCAACATGAAACTGACTACCAGACGGGAACTCGGTTTAAAATTGATTGTTAGACGGGAGCTGACTACCAGACGAGGGATGGGTTTAGAACTGATTGTTAGACGAGAACTGACTACCAGACGAGAACTGGGTTCATAATTGATCGCCAGACGGGAACTGACTACCAGATGGGAATTGGAATTTCAATTGATCGTCAGATGGGAACTGACTACTAGACGGGAGCTGGGTTTAGAATCGACCGTCAGACGAGAACTGACTACTAGACGAGAATTGGAATTTGAATTAATTGTCAAACGAGAACTGAGTACCAGACGGGAACTGGGTTTAGAATCGATCATCAGACGGGAACTAACTACCAGACGGGAACTGGAATTTGAATTGATTGTCAGACGCGAACTGACTACTAAATGGGAACTGGGTTTAGAATCGATTGTCAGACGGGAACTGACTACTAGACGGGTACTGGGTTTAGAATCGATCGTCAGACGAGAACTGTGGATATCTTCGAGTACATGCCCCAAGTTAACGCCACATTGGGAATCACCTCTTAAATAACTTGGGGATCAAAAGAGGACACGCGTGAAGTCCCCGGTTTACTCCACTGGGGATGTTCACTTGCGCGTGCCAAGTCAAACGATGATTGCGGACTTTCTGAATTCACTTGGGGAATCAGGTTTGAAATTGTCTATAGCAGATGAAGGCGGCTTCACGCACTGGCCAGGTCAGGGTGACTGTTATGACGCTTTTACCTTGTAGTTATCTCATACAACATTATTTGCTTGAGCAGCTTTGCGAGTACTGATGAGGAATGCCCCTGTCTATGGAATTTATGAAAGAATCCATGCCAAATAGAAGACCAGAATATTCGTCCTGCAATACGATATGAGGTGGCCTGCCCCAATCTCTTGAGTCACAAATAAACTGCTCTTGATTAGAACTTTCTTGGAGAGATTTGTCGAATCTTGACGTGATTGCCTCAGGTTGGCAGAATTCTAAATAGATTTCTCGACGTGATTGCCCCACGTTGAATGAATTCTGAATAGATTTCTCAACGTGATGGACTCTGATTGATGGAAATTTGAGATTTATCGATGTGATGGCTTTAGGTTGGTCGATCTTGAAGAGATTTATCGACGTGATAGCCTCAGATTGACTGAACTCTTACTCAATGGAGCATTCCCATGCTGGTCTTCTTTTACTCAATAGTGTCACCAAAAGGTTTGCCCCAGAATAAGATCATTCTCTAAGATGATTTGCTTTTTGACAAATTTCTAAAGCAATTCGTCCCTTGGGATAATCAAGTTTTCATTTGATGCTCATCATGCAAGCTTACTTGATGTTTAAGCACTCATTCACATGCAAAGAATGTTTATTCTAAGAATGATAATTCTAATGCAAATCTTATGCCTCTCTTGAAGTTAAAAAACTTTTATTGAAAAGATGTCGAAGCATCAAGTTTTTATGTATAAAAAGACAGTAAAAAAGATGGAATGATATCAACTCAAAAGTTTTAGTAAGCCTCCTAGGAGTCAGATTACCATACTCTTGTTACAGAATTGCTTCCGAATTAACACATGCTTCAGTTAGAACTTTTAAGGGTTGTAACATGGTCTGGTTCACGGTTTCAGGAAAAAGATTTAAGGCTCAAAATTATTTGGTGCCCACGCATTCTCCATGATGTTCTCCATTCCTATGTTCAGTTAACCCGATAGAAGCATTCATCTCTCAAAAGAGGAGTTTGCGATGGTTAAGGAACCACAGGGATTTCTTAGACACGACAATCACTAACTTTTAATTTTGGTGTCTCATCACACGACCTTGTTCTTTCAATAAGGATTTTTATTGACAATCCTTTTCTCTCCTTTTAGTCTTTTCAATTTTTTTCTTGCTTCCCCTAGCATTTTCCTGGACAAATTCTTTTGAATTTTGATTTGGAAGTCCAGCGGGATGCCCTAACTTTTGCCTAAGCAACTTGTTTTCAAATTTCGACTTAGCGAGGCTTTTTGTTTCTTTCCTATTCATACTTTCCCTTCTGAACAAGTCGTTGGTCTTTACTTCGTCTTTGATTTGTTGGAAGTGGTTGTGACTGTCTGAGTCTTTAGTAGATGATGGATAACCATTGTTGTATCGTCATCTGATCTTGAATTCTTGATGTGCG